AACCTCAAATTTTTTCAGATTTTTTCAGAGAGGACACTAGCGTCTAGAGCCTAAAAACACCCTTTTTAATATAAATACTAAATCCTGCCGGAATCACAATAATCCAGCAAATAACGTATATACACGAGCGACACTTTCACGTTGATAATATAATAACGTTTTATTGTCAGTCAAGCTTTTTTGCGCGCCTGCCCCTTCGTGTACACATTAGATATATACGTATGTACACGTGCCCATGCACGCCCACTATTGCTCGGAAGAATATTTCCGGATGGTATAAAAGAAGCGAAAATGTCGATCGAAAAAAGACGAGCCAGCAGTAGCGGCGTGCGTGCATAGACTGGGCGCTACCCGTGTATGTGCGTATACGTGGAGCTTGCAAGCAGCGGAGGAGGAGTTCGGAATGAATACATTACTTTTTATCGGTTTGCGTCTCGCGCGCGCACACACTACCCGACAACATTCCTATTTATATATATATTTTTTTTCGTGCAACATGCAAGAAGAGGAAAGGAAAGAGGAAATGTATAATATATATACACACTCTCGCATGCGAGTCTGAAAGGAAGAAACGCACGTCCCCTTGTTTTTCCTTCACTTCGAACAAACACATCCGAGCACATATAAAATGTATATCTGTATAGGGGCCAACTTATACTTGTCCCTTGCGCACTTTTTTTTCTTCTCGTCGTTTTGCTCTTTTGCCACGGCGTATACGGAGTATCGAGCAGCCGGCAGAAGCCTGGCACGCAAGGGTGTGGGTACTGCGAGCGTGACTTTTTCAGCTCGCGCGCGCACGCCTTTAAATCGTCGCGCGTCGTCGTCGTCGCGCGGAAAATTGAATTCTCCGCATCTCTGATGTGTCGATATGCAGCATAGGAACAGACAGATACATAGTTTTATAGATATACATACGTTCACTTCATTATCCAGAGAATGTGCAAATGCAATGTGCATGCGCCCGATAGGACATCAACGTATAATGCCATTTTTATTATATTATAGTTTTTATATTGCATGCTCATTAAAATATGTACGTTATTATAAGTAATCAGGATGATTTGGATGATGTCAAAAGTTTGTCAACTTCATCTCAATAAATTGAGTTATAAATAAAGTCTTTTATATGCTACGAGTTTCTAAATATAAAATATACATTGAAACTGGTACAACAATTAAACAAGCATAACTTTGATGCATATTGTTGAAAATATTTATATTAAAACTAATGCAAAACACAAGGAAGTTTTTATCTTTCACGTAGATCAATTCAATTATCACTTATTATTTGAAAAGCTTTCATTTATATTATTATTTTTACTTTGCCATTCGCAGATTTACAGATAAAGGTACTTATCATCTAGTGCTAGAGGATACATTTAAGTATGATTGGATTTTCGGAATTTTTTTTACAATAAATGCAAAAACAAAATCAGCATTAAATTACTAATTTTCAATAAAAGTGTCGTGTAAAATTACCCTTAATATAATTAATTGCTGGTCACTATAATTTTAATGTTTGACTTTAAATTAAATACGTGGTTTTTCTCAAGTAAGTTTCAATAATGAAATCATCATATGATTTTCAGTATACGTATATGATTCATTTAGCAATTTCATGTCTTTTTTTTTATTTGAAACATCTTTATCGGCGTTGGGCATGAGGGGTAAACCTGTGAAAAACGAGCATCCGTCCGTCTGAGCGAGCGCAACTTTGGTAGTATAAGTGCCTTATACAGCGTCGGTTTGCGCTATTGGCTGCCGCGCTGGCTACTTCGAACTCGATGACTGTTTTCTATTTGCTGCTGCTGAGACTTGCTGCGCGTATCTCTTACTCTCTCGCTCTCGCACACGCGTATATGACTGTGTTTACGTATACACACGAGGCAACATAAGAGCATAAGCAACAACAGCCAGTCTAACTCACAGACTTGACTAAGGTAAAACGGGTAGTAGTGGGACAAAGCAAAAAAGTTACCTAGTAGTGGGACAAAGATGAATAAATCATTATTATAAAAAAATATAATGTAATTAGGTATTAACTTAAATACTAAAAGATCAATCATACTCTCTTTAATAATTAGGAATGAATATTAACTGAAATTCATGGGTTACTAATTAAATAAAAAAGTTCTTACGATTGACCAACGATGTGGCATTGCGAAACGACCAAAACCCTACTTTTACATGCAAATTTGCGATGAAAATTTTATCGAATTAACGATAAAATCCTTATGAGAAGTATATAAAATTATTAGTTTGACATCATTATATAGCTCTTAGTTATATGAATTGAATACTTTTTGGACAAAATCTTAATTATTTATATTAGTTTTTACTTGTCCCAGTATAGACGGTTAATTTGAATCCAGTATTCTAAAGTGGGACTAGAAGATGGCGCTATCCTACCATATTAACGAGCCAACTCACTAGTAGGACGGTAACAGGCCTGCGTTGTTGCTTACATATAATTAATTTTCAATTTGTGTGACGATTATTGTCGTATTGACTTTTGTTGAAGCGTTTAGAAAGTTTTCATCGCAAATTATTGTCGTTTAGACATTTGATGCCAACCAATACAGTTTGTTTATATATGTTACAGGCAAAACCCGATTTTAGGCAAAAGCAGAAATGCCAACGATTTTAGGACATAACCGAAATGCCGTTCAAATTATAGGAAATTCCTAAACAATTTAGGCAAAACCTGAAATGACTGAAAATTTTTAGGCGGAATAAGTAATGCCTAACCGATTTTAGGCATTTTTGCGTAGCCCCCTCGGAGACGTCGGTCGGTCGTGATATTATCGACATAAATACTAATTATTTCTGTACGGCTGTAGGAATTTTCTTGAATTGATATATTGTAAACCATGAATGAATAATAAGTCGTGAATTTATTATCAATTATCAATTTATTAGCATAAAACTAATTTAAAGATAAGTACTAGCCCAAGTAAAAAAAAATGTATAAAGGTTTTATGAAATCTTTTTACAGGAGCCTTGAGGCATTGGTTAATACATATTATTTATAATTAATTACTTATTTAGACAAGTTGTGCTATTGTGGCATTTTGAGTCACAAAGCACATTATTTTTTTTCAAATGCAAATTCTGGTAGAACAGTTTTTTTACAACATTTGAAGAAGCCTTGGCTCCCAGAAGTTAATTGTTTCGTTGCTATATCGTTCTAACAGACAAAATTTCTGAATGCGGGACGCCTCTTCGATTCAAAAATTTTTGCTGACATATATTGTGACGATGTCACTGAGCATCGATTTACGTAAATTATGCGAGCTGTAACGGTGAATGTGTGAGAGTGACGTGCGACCGAGAAGAATGAAGGTTATGGAATTATGTGTTCGTGGTCATTTAAGGGCGATGTTGTTCGCAAAAAGACCTTTATATAACCTAGAATAATCTTATATAAGGAATAGAATGAAATGACCTTTAAAAAAACAAAAGATGTTTTCGAACTTAAAATTTTCCGCTCTTTTCAAATCTGCAATAAAAAATGGGGGTCACCGTACAAAAAATCAATTTTGGTTCGCTGTAGCTTAGAGGTTATGTTCAAGGTCAAATCAAAGGTCCCCATTGGTTTTCTCGTCGAAAAATACGTTGAACATGATGTTGTCAAATTTTTTTGGGGATTTGTAGGAATTAAAGGACATTTTAGTATAGTTAAGCTCGAAATCGCGAATCTATTTTTCAACTACGTTAATGATTCTATTCTTAAGGAGCTTTCGGTGCAAGTTTTCGTACATTAACTGCTCGGTCAGCTCACGCATGGTCTCGTACGCAATGTAAAGCGCATGTGCAACGCGCCTATAGTCACGTAGACCGAGCAAACGTTTTATATGTAAATATATACCGGATTATGTATTAATGTCACAGAGTTTACATTTTTTTATATTTTGCCATAATTATTTGTTTTTGATTTGTCTTAATTATTATATCTTAGTCGTTATGGACATTTTTTATTTGTATTTAATTTTGAATTTTTATATGAATTTGAATTTCGCGCGCTCACACGCGTTGAGTCTTGTTAGGGTTACGTTCGAAAATCTAACTTTCAACGTGTTATATTTCTCTAAAATCAACGTTGACCTATATATTTCGCGATTCCATTGTAAAGGTTCTGGATTCACCTTTCAGAAAATATAACTTTCATCAAAATCTTTCGTTTATTAAAAAACTTATGAGTAAAGATAGGTAGCTGACCATACAATCCCATGTTAAAATGCATCTTTCAAATGCATTTTTCTCGGAAATTTCAATGTTGACCTACATATTTTTAAACTGATTCTTGTTCAGAAGGCTTCAACGCTTCTTTTGAAATATATAACATCAAATTCTTCCATGAAGTCGTTTTTTGAAAGAGCCTCCTTAATTTGGCTGTAGATTTGGATCTGAGCTCTTTTACCACAGAAAATGTTCCTCATATACCTCTGAACACTTTAAGTTCTTCAAGTCCTTAAAATGATAATCTATGATTCCACAGGAATTTGGTTCTATGATTTTTGGTAGGGGGACATTTTTAAAAAAATTGTGTTTATGAAGATATTTTTTTATAATATAAAATTTCATAAAAACCATATTTTATAATATTAACTTTTATAAAATACTTTTTTTATAAAAAAATATATAATATAATAATTCGTGATGTGTTTATGTACATGATATCATTAACTTCATCCTGTTATTTTATTATCTTATTTATTTTTTGGTTACGCGCAAGATTGATTTTGTTTTATTACTTTTTTTGAAAATAATGAATGCTTATATTATTGATTTTTTGATGTGAAACATCTATTTTTTAAATAGACTACGTTCATGAAATTGCTGAAACTTGAAGAATTGATGATAATTATCACTTGGAAAGAGGATTCCTGTAGCGAATAAGAAAGAGAACGATTGGCAGCAGCGTCAAGCGAAATTGGAAGGCTGAACGTGTGAGTGTGGTGTGAAATCAATAGCAGCCATCGCACGTCGCTTCAATTCGATCGACACTTGCTTGTTCAAATTACAGTATATTTACGAGAATGTGCCAGACGCGCGGTTTGCTCATTCGCGTGATGGTGCGTGTCTCCTGGCCTGTCGAATCTCATTGAATGATGCGTGAATAATCCAATGGACCGTGCGCACCCACGAGTAAGAGAGAGAGAGAGAGACAGACAGACGCTGCGAAGATTCTACAGAAAGCTTGAAACTCGATTGTTGTGGTAAGTAGTGCGTATATATCTATTTATCGATTTTAAGTCCAGTCGCGCGTATTCATCCTTTTGTGAATAAACGATTAACCTTTCGGTTCCATATAGCTTTTGCATTCGCGCGATAAACCGCACACCTTTTGGGGTGCAAGAGAGTGCATAGTCGAGATGGCTAACAATGAATTTCATAGCCAGTGGTCTCGACGCGCCAACAAGCTTTCACCGTAAATGCAGGTGTTGAAACTGTAAGGAGCGAACTGCACATTGTGTTGCTGATTTAACTAACGCATATACTAATAATGTTTAAATTTAATACCACTGCTTTACCGTATACAGTCTAAGCTTTTATATATTCAGCAATATGCCCGCAAAAGCACACTCCAGCAGCGAGATATTAGAGCAGGTAAAAAACTTTGAAACAAAAATCACGTTTGGAACATAAAATTGTTTATTTATGTGCGGATAATCATTCGAATTTTCAACTGCAATTTTAAATTGATTGCTACACCTGACGCGATTGACTTTTTTCCAATCTTTTTTTTTAATAAATATCGCGGGTAAATCGGATGAATTTATCGCTCTCTACTGTGTGTTTTTCGTAAAACAAGCTCTGGCTCGTATGCATTTACACTAAAATTCACATTATTACAAGCTACAAGAATTTAAATTCGGTTACACTATCAGTGTGGCATGATTTTTCGTGAAGTTTTCATTTATCTAAAATAAAAATATTTTATATTGATTAAACCTGTGATAAAAGTTACGATCTGGTGAAGTTTCGTCCGGGCCATGAAATCATAATGGATCTGATCGACCATCATGTTGTGCGTTTCAAAACATTTTAAACATTATTCATAATTTTTATGAGTATCAGGAAGATTCTCTAGGTACATTTTATTTCGTGCTTGTTTGCTAGCGAAAAATAATTTTCCAGCAGTAAGTTTGTCATTTGTCAGACAATGGATAGATATAAAGTGCAAACAAGCGGCAGTAGCAGCAGCATCAGCATCGGCGGCAGAAATACAAGTCAAATAAGCTTGATGATAAAGCGGCAATGGGAGCACGTAGAAGCTCGCATCGGGAGTAATGAGAGTGCGAGTCTGTTGTGCGACTCGCAGACGGGAGAAAGTGACGACTTTTCGCTTCTACGTGTTCATTTCGCGTTTGTATTTATTATTCGCGCAATATTATATATACACGTGTACAAAAGTGGAAAGCTCAGACACGCCACAGCCCAGAAGAAGGAAGGAAAGGGGGGGGGGGGGGGNGGGGGGGGGGGGGGGGGGGGAGAGGAATAGCCTACACGCCGAGCTGCCTTCCAATTAATTCTCCTTCAGACCACACCACGGGGATGCGCACGTCTGGCTCTTACTCTTTCTCTTGCGAGCTCGCGCGCGCATGTCAACACGTGCCAATCCGTTTCATTCAACTTCCTCGTCGTTTAAGAATCGTCGTGAATGAATTTACCCATCCGTTTTACGCAAATAAGATGTGTCCTAGATGTTGACATTAAAGGCGCGACTGCCGAGATCAGCACGTTCATAATGAAATTCAAAGCTCATTTCATAAATTATTTAGTACAACGCGTACATGCGTATACGAGCAGAGCAACATTGGCCTCGGCGAAGCAAATGAGTTACATGAAGAGTTCCAGTTAGACGCCGGTATAGTTGCAAGGCCTAAAGCTATTATATCTAACTTTGAGCAGTCTCCTTCTCGCTCGCTCTCTCTCTCTCTCTCTCTCTCTCTCTCTCTCTCTCAACTAATAGTTTGCCTACTTTGCTATAGACTTGTAACGCAAAGCAGAAGCCGTAGCTACGTCGCTGAGCGAAACTTCTTCAGGAATACCTAATAAGTATTGAGAGAGCAGCTGCTGGAGGAAAGGCAAAAAGGGGACCGTGTATATGGGCCGCGCGCGAGTTACCAAGATGAATAAATAGTTCGAATGCAATTAAGCGCCTGCGATCTTTCCTATATGCCGCAATAAGATGATGCTAAGTATTTATAGGTTCGATAAAACTTTCGCCAGAGTTTCATTGGCCGAAAGCACATACGTTTCAGAAACAATATTTCGATGAACCGAAATTCTGAGACGTTAACTCTCGCCGCGGACGAGTTAAATTTCCAAAGTCGCTTATAGTCGATGTTAAACGCAGTCCAGATTCAAAGCTATAAGACAAATGTGACGAATCTACACTCGAAATCAAAATCTTAGATAAGATCGACGGAATCACGTATGAGACGAGGATGGTCTCTCAAAGTATTATTACGTATCCATGTATATAATCCTGTGTCAATGGCGCAGTCTTTGGGAATGAGCACCCAAGTACGCAGAAGCGACAGTTGCTTGGGAAACTTGCACACACGTATATAGACGTGCGTACACTGCACACGATCCTCATCGCTTTTCGCTCATCGAGTATTTGCCGTGAAGCTCGCTGAACTCGGAGCTCGCTAGACTGCCGCGCACCGTAGAGAGAGAGAGAGAGAGAGAGAGAGAGAGAGAGAGATAGCGTATGTCAATACACGTGTCTAGCTCCTTCACGGCGCAGCGCACACCCAAAATGAAAACAAACATTTCCACATACAAGACGCTGCGCCTAGACAAGGTGAGGGAATATACGTTTGTACGAATGTACGCGGTATATGTTACCAACACTGCTTCGCCCTTCGTGTTGGATGCATGTAGATGTGATCTCGCGCTCAGATAGACACTGCAATACATTTATACACTTACTTACTTGGAATGTTGGTATTTGCCGTGTATGCCGAAGTCTCCAAGTATCTGTCAGAAGCACAGGAACGATGGGAGGTCACGACAGTGACACGAAGAACAAACTGAAACTCAAGTATAAATTAGTAGTCGAGCTCGGGCTCATATTTGAGTATCCACTCTCGATCTTATTACGTGTGTACGTCGAGCTGCGATCCTGCGAAATGGAAACGTTCCCGAACTGGACGTAAAAATTCAATGTTCTCAATTCGATGCACTGCAAGGGCTATAATATATTAGGTCAAATAATTTACTACAGAAATATGTTGCCAAATATGATAGCAAAATGAGAGCGGCGCACGATGTATCGGTCAATCTACGAAGAGATCGATGTGCTTCTCGATTAAGCGCAATATCGGTGGTGGCTCGAATCGCGCGAGTCGCTTGCGCTCGAAGACCGCACTGCGACGGATTTATCGTGTGTTTACGATCTGCAAAATTTACGATTGGCAAGATGCACGAACTGGGCAAATGTAAATAAAAAAAGAAGAAGGAGGAACAAAAAATAAACTCACGTACTACAGGAAGAAACTTATAAATCTCTTATCCGTTCCTGGGCGCGCGAGCGCGTATATATTTCAGCGTCAGAACTGAATGTCTCTTTCTTTCTCTCTCTCTTGAGCTTCGTCTGTAACCTCATCTTGAAAAGCAAGTTTCCGCAATTTTTCCAAGCTGAATGTCTCTCTTACTTTCGTCGCCTTTCACAAGGGAATAGGTAGATAATATATCGTATTTCTCGCCTGCGCTCGCTTACGCGCGCTCTCGTATAGCTACGCTGCTACGAGTTACACGCATACACGAGAGCGTGCACATACACACATGCATAATACGTAGTCCACTCACAAGACGGCAATCAGCATCGCTAACGAGGCTGCACCGCGAATCGATGCCTCCCCATTGGCCCGAGGAGATTAGACTTTAGCTGTTACCTCCCAGATTCCCGACGACTCGTACTTTTGCTTGCTACACGCACACACACACACACCAGTATACAATCATTACGTTGCTCTGTGAATGTCTTTTATCTAGAGGCACGCCAGCATATACTCGGGCGGCTTTGATTGGGAATTCAATATAACGTTGATCGAGACCGATCGAGCCTCGTCTGGACTTTACCGAAAAAGTGATTAATCGCGTTCAATGTCTGTCTCTTCTTCTTCTTCTTCTTCTTCCTCTCTTTCATGGCAGTCGTGAAAACTTTAGCCTTTACAATACGATAGGTGAGTGTGCGCGTAGCGAGACTTATATGGAAAAAAATACATTCCCGCATGTATGGCAATTTCCCACTCTTCTTTTATGGCTTTGGTGAATCTTTGCAAGCTTGCAGCTGAAACGAAAAGTTTTGCGCTACCAGAAAGACGGGAAAATTCTCCGACTGATTGCCACAGAGTTGAAAAAGCTCTGAGCCTGCAAAGAATCGTAGCTTGTTTGTCGGCAAAATGTATAGACTAGTTTAGAGTTATATGTCAAAGTTCCGACAACCAGAAAAAGCTTCCATGTGCAACGCACATTGATAATGACTTTTAATGAGACTGATATGCATAATTACGAGCAGTTTATGGTTTATTTTAGAAACGCTTCGTTTGCGCATCTTTTAGAATAAAAATAATTTTTTTTTTCAAAGTTCGAACTTTTATTCTGACGACAAACTTCATGCAAACCATTTAAAAAATAATTTAAAGTTCACAATGTTTTATTTGAAAAAAAACTAAGAGTATTGACTTTTTACGTAGTTTTTTTTTATCGTCAGTACATTACAAAGTAATAACGGCAAAGAATATTATATCGCAAAAAACTATAAGATATTATGTTTCCGCAGCAATTCTTTTTTATTCCTAACTTTACCAGTAATGAAAAAAATTACAAGAGAAAAAAACCATTATACAAGCGTACAAAGGAAATTGTAATCTTTTATAGATAAATGCAATAAAAATAGGATTCAGAAAAAAAGTACAATTACTTTTCAAGTTTATGATCAGTCGCTTGTTGTAAGAAGTTATTTTAAAAATGCTCTCTCGAGAGCACAGTAACGAGCAACAAAATAGATAATAATTTGCAGCAATAACAGAAAATTATTGATCAAGTTTGCAATTAGGGAAGGGATGAAGATGTACCACAGTTGGTGCATCAAATCATTGAATAAAAGATTAGCAAATAGTTGCAATTATTGGTTTCTCAAAAAAATTTGTACCTCCTCGCGTATATATATGAAGCTATTGGAATTGCATCATCGAGAGCC